TGATGAAGGAGAAGAAGATTGTTGAAGAAGAAAATAAAGAAAGAAAGAAAAAAATTCAAAGAGAAAGAAAGGAGAAAAAACACATGAAAGAAATGGTCGCGGAGATTTTAATTGCATATTGTAATTGAAAAAGAATATTGTATCGAGACCGTTAGACAATGAACATAATCTAACAGTCTCACGGTATAATTTGTGAAATATTTTAACATTCAAAAAAGTATTTTATCTTCTTACTTTATTTTTTGGTAAACTATTTTCGTACTTAATAAATTCATAAAATTCCAGTAAAAAAACATCATAAAACTTTTTCATTTTTTTAAAGGATCTTAAAACATTTCCATTACTAATAAAAAAGATAAATATGGTGTTAATAAACGCCCTCTAATTTTCTCAAAAGAAATTCTCATAATTATTTAATTAATTAATCATATGGTACTTTGTTCCAAAAAACGCATATACTCTATCCGTATTTAAAAGTTCCCTGCACTTTCTTTTTTGGAATGTATTTAAAAGTTTCCTACATTTCCATTTTTGATACGTTTATCTTTTATAAAATATTCAACTACTCTTACTTTATCTACTTTTTATCTTCTCTTTCCTACTTTTAAACACTCTCCCCTATTTTTCCTACAGCATTCACTATCATTATTATTCTATTATAAAATATTGTGCAAAAAAAATGTAGGAAACATGTAAATATGGAGGGGAGCGAGGAGTACTACTTCCTTATAGGGGTGGGTTCGGTTCTTGTGGTTCGGTTTTGACCTAAAACCAAATATAGAATCAAAGTAAAAAGTTCGGTTCGGTTTCGGTTCGGTTTTACACTCCAAAACTTGGAACCACGGTTTGATTGGTTCGGTTTGTTTCGGTTCGGTTTTGGTTTTTCCGGTTTTTTACCAAAAAATTATCGCTTGATTCAGAATTGATATAATACTTAGAGGGATCAAAATCATCAAACATATTACATAAAGAATGCAAGCACAATACAACGACAAATAAAATAAAAATGAGAAGAGATAAATATGTCTTCAATTATATGAGTATGTGAGATAGATAAACTGTATATATTATCGATTTAATTTGTTTGTGAGTAATTTAATTCGAAAAAAGTTCATGAATATATACTTTCTATACTTCTATGTGATATAGTTGAGATGAATATTTATTGTTTTATCAATATAAAATCTTTAAGTTATCTAAAAAAAAGTTAATTACTACTAATAACTAGTAAACACATATTATCATCATTCAATATAGCTACATTATTACAGACAATGAATGTGTAAATGAATTTATAAACTAAATTAAATTAAACATAACACAAACATTATTTCTCTAACACAAGAAAACCAAAGACTATTGATGATATTAAGATTAATTAGAATTAATGCTTAACAATTAAATTATAAATTTCATATTTTAAATAGTTCGGTTTGTTCGGTTCGGTTCGGTTTTGAAGGGTAAAAACCAAAACCGAACCAAACAACTTCGGTTCGGTTCGGTTTTTTACATTCGGTTTCGGTTTCTTAGCGGTTCGGTTTTATTTGGTTGCGGTTCGATTTAATTTGATTCGGTTTTCGGTTTTCGGTTTTTCGGACCCAGCCCTACTTCCTTATTTACGCTGGGCGGAGGAGAAGCAGTAGAAAGCACGGTATTCGAAAATTGAATGTTTCATCTCTTTCCCCAATTAATTTACATTCCGTTACACAAAGAACCGTTTTCCCCTCTTTTTCTTTCCTTCATCTCTTAAACCCCCCCACCAATCCACCAGACGAGAGAGAAGAGAGTTAATGTACAATGTCCAAGCCGCCGACGACGATACGGCCGGAAGATTACGCCCATAGTCCGGTCCACTACGCCGTCGCAGTTGCAGATCACAGTTCCCTGAAACGCCTAGTCTCTTCGGTGGACCGGCTAGGCGACCCGAACCGAATTCATACCGAATCTGACTCGCTCGCTCAGGAACGACTCGCTGAGCAAATCGGCGCCGTACTCGACCGCCGCGACAATCTCAACCGCGAGACTCCTCTGCATCTGGCGGTCCGCCTCAACGATGCATTCGCCGCTCAAACTCTCGCCGTTGCAGGAGCGGACATTTCTCTGCAGAATGCTGCTGGCTGGAATCCGCTCCAGGAGGCCATTGTGCGGCGGTGCCCGGACATCGTGGCGACGCTTGTGCAGCACCACCACCTCAGTGCCTGGTGCAAATGGCGCCGCCGCCTCCCCCGGCTTGTAGCCGCACTCCGAAGGATGCGCGATTTCTATATGGAGATTTCCTTCCACTTTGAGAGCTCCATTGTTCCATTCGTCGGCAAAATGGCTCCTTCGGATACGTATAAGATCTGGAAGCGGGACGGCAATCTCAGAGCCGACACGTCATTAGCGGGATATGACGGTTTGAAAATTCAGCGTGCTAATCAGAGCTTCCTATTCTTCGGCGATGGACCTGACTGTGAGACCAAATCTGACATCCCTGTCGGTTCACTTCTGGTGCTCAACCACGATGACCGGAAAATCTACGATGCATTTGAAAACGCCGGAAGTCCTTTAACCGACGCCGATGTTGCCAATGTTTGTACCCAAACAAGCATATACCGGCCAGGAATGGACGTCACGAATGCAACGCTAGTTGGGCGTACGAACTGGAGAGGTCAGGGGAAAACAGAGAGCGTCGGAGAATGGAAAGCTAGAGTTTATGATGTGAACAATGTGTCTTTTAGCTTCCGTTCTCGGAAAGCCATCGGCGGAGAAGCCGGAAGCGAGCAAGTATTACCTCTAGACTTGGAGATTGAAGAAGATGCTGAAGATGGCTTCCTAGTAGCGGAGAATCCGCGATTCAGCACCTCCGTGGACGTCCCCAGCGGACAGAGACGCCACAGCAGCTTTGTTCATGAGGACAGAGAGCAAATTACTGTCTCGCGAAAGAGCGTGGATATCATTCCAGCGCCGCGGCGGAGATCGGCGGCTATACCGGTTCCGCCGCCTCCGCAGACGAAGGAGAAGGAATTTGTTAAAAATCTGAAACCGTCAGTTTGGTTAACAGAGCAATTCCCGTTAAGCACGGAGGAGCTGCTGCCACTTCTCGACATTCTAGCGAACAAAATGAAGGCCGTTAGGCGATTGAGGGAGCTGTTGACGACCAAATTTCCTCCGGGAACTTTTCCGGTAAAGGTACGGCGCAAATTTGCTATTTCGAGGAACTTCTAACTGGGTCCCACCCAGTTCTCCTTTTGAGTTTTTTGATGCATAGGCTGACCTACTAGCAGCTATTATTGATCCCCGTTAGCCTACATTTTCCGCTTAAGCACTTTATGACATAGATGCACTTTATCGGTAAATATGGGCCACAAGAAAAGAAACATTCCCTCCCATTTGGCTTTGGAATGTGGCTTTGGGATTTATTGATTTCGGAGAAACTTGAAATTAATGTACAGAAAATTTCAGTTGAAAAACATACCGAGTATTTAGGTAGCACTTTTGTCTAAAAAGACTCTTTTTTCAACCCAAAACAATAGAGTTCTTGATTTTATTGTGCTTTGTTTTAATTTTATCAATCCGGAACGTGAAAGTCATCGATGAACGGACAATTTCGGACCCCAAAAGTGAAATATGTCAGTATAGGGTTCGACGTACGGAGTAGTTTTTAATTATTTGAGCTCTATACTGGCAAATTCATTATTCAGATTCCTAATTGATTTATCTATATGTTGTGAATTGATAAAATTCATTTTTTAAACTTTGTTACTATTTTACTTCTAGTTTTAGCAACTTTTAGTGATTTATCTAATATGATGTGTACAGGTGGCGATTCCGGTGGTCCCTACAGTGAGGGTGGTAATAACCTTCACCAAATTTGTTGAGCTACAGCCTGTTGATCAGTTTTTCACGCCATTTTCAAGCCCAAGAGATCTTGTCCAGTCAGAGGATGAAAGCACGGAGAGCCGAGCTGGCCGGGTGGGTAGGGGCAGAAGTCGAGCGGGGTCAACAAGCCGTTTGCAGGCGAGCTGTAATGGACAGCAAGCAGATCCATTCGCCATCCCAGCTGGGTATAGTTGGAGCAGCTTTGATGAGAATAAGAGCACAAAGACGAAGAAAAGTAGGTCTTCTAGGAGAACCAAGTGAAATTCAAAGGCAAGGCGACAATGGGTTTCTTTATGCATCAATTCTGGGCACACTATAATGAGGTTTAAGTGTTGTTCTAGTTTGTATGAATGTAGAGTGTAGATACCAAGGCGGAAAAGCAAAAGAAAATCTGCATTGACTAGTTTTCGTGCATTTAATTAGAGTTAATTGTTCACCAAAGGCCGAATTAGAAATCATTTTAATTGCTTACATAGACGCAGGTTTTTCGTTTATTTCTAGTCCAATTATCAATATGAAATCTATGTTTATTTCTAGTCCAATCATTGGTGGCTTGGTGCATTTAGGAAATATTATCGGTGCCTGGTGAGTGATCTAAAAGTGCATAACAGATTTGCATATTTATGTGCTTCAATTACCAACAATATATATACACAAACATTTCATTCCATACAATGCCAAAGGTGTCATTTTATCTCATGATTCTCACTAGCAGAACCGCGATTAATGAGTTGGGTGCAATATGGTTAGAATATGTAAAGTAGAGACTTGTTGAAGCAAGTAGATTTAATGATTTATGGATCACATTCACGTAATCACGTGCTCACTAAGGAACATACTGATGTGATGAATGGTCAGGATTCTCTAATAATTTAGATGAATGAATCTTAGCGATCCAGAATGCTAGTGTGCTACCTGTAATTCAAGTAGTAAAGACAAACAACATCATGCTTATTTAAGTTGAAAAAAATCAAATAGGTGTATGTACTGATTAGGGACTTGTAGCATGAATCTAACTCTAAATGTTTGATTATACATGTATATCAATTGGGGTTAGACATCATTTACAATATTATAAAATACTTGTTTTGAAATCAAGTAGGTGTCAAAACAGGTTTTGATTTTTCGGCTCTTTCTCTAGGGTGGGTTTCTACTGCTAGGGTTTTTCCTCCGCTATCGTTTTATAACGAGAAGTGGCCGTCGCAGGCGGGCTTAGTCGTACAGGGTTTCCTCTTCCGCCATCAATTGGGCGGTTTTTTTCTTCTTTTGCTTGGCGAGATTAAGCGGAGGTAAGATGATGCTTAATCTCTAGCGGCCGAAGGTTGTGCAAGGACAGAAGATGGATGCTTGGTCTTTGGCGGCCAAAGGTATGGACGAAGCGTGTAGCTTGAGGTTGGAACAAATCTGGATTCGAGGTAATCTGTTTTGGTGGCAACAAAGGAGGCTTGGTAGAAAACCTGATGAATAACAGGCAACGTGAGGAAGAAGCTTCGGTACTGCTGGATCGTCCCCCTCCTGAACCGCCGCCATGGAGTGCAGGAGAGTCTAGGGTTTGGAAGCATCATTTTAATTTTACCGTTTGCTTGCGTTATATTTTTCATTATCAGGCTGTTTATTTTTCTGTTGGTTACTTTTATTATTATAAGACTCTTGCATTAGGATTGAGTGAGGTTTGGTCTACTTCAATCGTCTATAGCTCAGGTTTGCCCATTAATGGATCAACGAGTTATATTGCTTGTTTGAAGGTGATTAACTCTAAGTCTGGTTCGAGGGTTGACGGTTGTTTGTGGTTCCTTACTTATTTTATTCCTTTTCTGAATGCTAATGCTTTGATTTCAATATAAGTCCCCCTTCCAAAAAAAATAAGAACCTCTTTTATCGTGTGATTTATTTTACTAATACGGGACAAATTAATGTGGAGTAATATGTAAAGTTAAACGGATTCAGTATGAATCCGCATATGAGTAATTAGTAAAGCTAAATAACCTAACTTTAGTCACATATATACACAGTATTATTCGGAAGAAATGAAAAATAATGCAAGTCAAAATGTGCATTTAGGAATACAACTTTACAGTTAACAAATACGTAACAATCATCCCAACTTATATTAAAAAACATGACATATTCTTACCTTTTTATACATCGGAAAGGATAAACACATTCTTACTACTATAAAACAAATACATATGCTGCTATATAGAAATCATTCTACTAGTTGTCCCTACTCCCTACTAGAAATCATTCTAGTAGTTGTCCCTGCCTTGCCTTTGATTATTCTAGCGGCCCTCCGAGCTTTTAAAAGTCCACCTTATTTAAAGCTTGCAGATGTTTTTATAAAAACTCCAATGTATATATATATATATATATATATATATATATATATATATATATATATAGAGGAATGCTCCTGTCCAGACGTCCGGACAGGAGCCGCCGTCCGGCCGGCGGCGTTTGGCCGCCTTCCCGGTGGAATTTTTTGATGAAATTTTTATGGCATGTTCTCCATCAAGTCTAGTTTATCCACAAAAAAATTGAGCCAAAAACTCAATCGGGAAGGTCGTCAAATGATTTTTGCAAGTTAACTGGTCCGGAAAATACATATTCCGGACCAGTTAACTTGCAAAAATCATTTGACGACCTTCCCGATTGAGTTTTTGGCTGAATTTTTTTGTGGATAAACTAGACTTGATGGAGAACATGCCATAAAAATTTCATCAAAAAATTCCACCGGGAAGGCGGTCAAACGCCGCCGGCCGGACGGCGGCTCCTGTCCGGACGTCTGGACAGGATCTTTTCTATATATATATATATATATATATGTGTGTGTGTGTGTATATATATATATGTATATATATATATATATATATATATATATATATATATATAGGAAATCTTTCCGGTAAGGTATACCTTACTGGAGCCGTCGTGCGGCCTCCACGTTTTGAGGGCCTTCCCAGTGGAATTTTTCGATGAACTTTTTTGAGCATGTTCTTCATCAAGTCTACTACATCCATACCAAATTTCAGCAAAAAATTCAATCCAGAAGGCAACCAAACGATTTTTAGAAGATAACTGCGTTTTATATGTATATAAAGGCTGCAGTTATCTTCCAAAAATCATTTGACTGCCTTCCGGATTGAATTTTTTTCTGAAATTTGGTATGGATGTACTAGACTTGATGAAGAACATGCTCAAAAAAATTCATCGAAAAATTCCACCAGGAAGACTCTCAAAACGTGGAGGCCGCACGGAGGCTTCGGTAAGGTATACCTTACCGGAAGAGTTTCCTATATATATATATATATATATATATATATATATCATTTTTTATTATTCTCATCCCTCTAACATTGTAACAAGAGTGAATGACGTAGTTATTTAGAAAATTGAATTATATACTCTGTTGTCTTTGAATTATCTTCCAAATTTCCATCACAAAATAATCCTCTCTCTCCCTTTTTTGGGAAAATCGCACTTTTAGTCCCTGAAATAGTCACGAAAATGAAATGTCGGACTCGTATTCCCAAGTTTGAAAATATCGCCCTTCAATTCTCCTAAATGGTGTAAATGTGGTCCTTTTAGGGGTGAAATATACAATGTGGACGAGAGTACATTTCACCCCCCTTAAAGGACCACATTTACAACAATTTGGACAATTGAAGGGTCATTTACAATATCAGCAATACGGGTCCGACATTTCATTTTCGTGACTATTTCGGGGACTAAAAGTGCGATTTCCCCCCTTTTTCCTATAGAATTTATTGTGTGTGGCATTTTTTTTACACATTTCTCTCTCCTCTGCACAACTCTTGAACGAGGGAACAATTAATATGAAATTGATAAAATGCGAATAAAGTAAACATAGTACGAGACAAACTTAATAAGAAAAACGGAAAAAGGTAAAATGAGACAAATATAAGGGAACATGAGCAGTATATTTGATATGCACTAATTAGTAGTGCATAAGTGTATGTTTTTATGCTTGATTTGTGTGTATTGTTTATCGTTTTATTTAGTTTGTAAACATTTATGTGATTTTAGTTGTAATTGTATTTTAATCTTCATTTGTAAGTTGGAAAGTAGAGTTAGTATTTATGGTGTTAGAAAGGAAGAGTTTGAAGTGAAGAAAAAGGTGATAAGTGTGCCCAGGAGCACAAACCCGGTCGGGTCAGACCATGCACCCGGTCGGGTCTGATGTAAAATCCGAAACTGCCTGGAAAATCATCAGACCCGGTCGGGTCCCCTACTTGACCCGGTCGGGTCAGACTTGACCCGAGACACCAGGACGTGCCGAAGATCGCCAGAACGTGGAGGATATCTGATTTTGACCGGACCCGGTCGGGTAAGCACCTAACCCGGTCGGGTACCCGGCCCAAGGTGTTGAAAAACACCTATAAATAACCCCATTTTCCTTCACAAAGAATCATCCCTTCTTCCATACTCTTAAGCTCAGTTTAGAATAGTATTTCTTTTATATTTTTATATTATGTTTAGTCTCCAAATGAGGAGCTAAACTTCCATTTCTTGGTATTGCTCTTGAAGCTTGTTGATTATTAAAGTTGTGAGTTATTTTCTTAACTTCTTTTCCTTGAATATTAATTCTTCCTTTAAATACTATTTCTATATCAATGTTGGGGAGTGTTACTAAGATGACAATTAGTTAACATCTTGACATTGGTTTTAGTAATAGCTATTCCTTCCTCTATGTTAATATCGGGGAGTGTTACTAAGATGACAATTAGTTAACATCTTGATATTTAACTATAGTAGGATTCATTCCCTTTTAATATTCTTCCTTGAGTATTAATTAATTCCTATTCATATTTCATATTAATATTTTGAACATTACTTAAAGGATCAACTAGTTTTGTTTCAAATATTAATTACTACTAGAAATGATCAACGAACCGATGGTTAATCGTTGATAGTTTCACAAGTAAGTAACTTCGGTTTATTAATGCACGGTCGTGGTTAATAGACTTAAGATGGATTAATTTTGTTGGTTAAACCGAAACCGTTGTGTTAAGGTTATCAATCTCAATTGATTTCATCAAGGAGTTAAAAGATTAAATGCTACTATCAAGTCGATATATGGCGTTGTTCTATACTTGACTAATAGTAAGGGTTATTAATGAACGGTCGTTGTTAATAACTATCCTCGATGAATTGGATATACTCCTCGATTGAGTATTCGAGAGGAGATAAGTTATAGATATAACAATGATCGACTAAAATATATCAACAAGTGGAAAGTAGCAATACCAAGTCAATTTTATCTTTGAATTAAATCCCATATAAATCGTTCATCTTCGTGTTTAAATTTAATTAAATCACTCAACAATCAAAACCCCCCTTTACTTACTATTTATATAAAAAGAAAGTTATTCCTTTCCCTGTGGATACGAACTCTACTACGCTATACTACGTATAAGTGCTAGTGTTGAAATTATTTTGAGTGCACTCACGACAAAGTGCACGTCAAATTTGGCGCCGTTGCCGGGGAGAGGCAATTAATTTTTCTTTTTATTTTATTTTAAGGAAAAAAAAAATTCACTTCAAGTATAAAGATTTCTATTTCTTCTGAGCTTTGTAGTATATGGTTAAATATCGTTCACTGAACGAAATCACCTACAAATCAAACCCCGAAATAGAACAAACTCTCGAGCGGTTGAAGAATAAATTCTCAAGCTCCGACTCGGGAGAATCATCCAGTGCTAGTTCTCAATCTAGCGAGACTGAAGAGCCAATTACTATGGCTCATGAAACGAGAACATTGAGGGAGCTCACGGCTCCGAATCTAGATCAACAGCCCCTATGTATCACTTTTCCAACTCTTGATACAGGGGTCACATTTGAGCTAAAATCTGGGCTCATTCATCTCCTTCCATCATTCCATGGTTTACGAGGGGAGGATCCGAACAAACACTTGTCGGAGTTCCATATTGTGTGCACAAGCATGTGCCCCAATGGTGTGTCCGAGGAGCAAATCAAACTGAGGGCCTTTCCATTCTCTCTGAAGGATACCGCAAAGGATTGGCTTTTCTATCTTCCTTCGGGAAGTATCACTACATGGCCACAAATGAAGAAGGCCTTCCTTGACAGGTATTACCCCGCTTCTATTTCATCGTCACTCAAGAAGCAAATAAGCAACATTGAACAAAAAGATGATGAATCTCTATATGAATATTGGGAGAGATTCAAGAAGCTATGTGCAAGTTGCCCCTATCACGGATACACCGAACAAGACCTCATTCTCTACTTCTATGATGGTCTTGTGGATCAAGATCGCCGCATGGTGAATGCGGCGTGTGGAGGGGGCATTGTCAACAAAACCCCTTCACAAGCGAGAGATCTCATCTCGGAGTTGGCCGAGAACTCCAGACACTATAACGGGCGGTCCTCAACTCGGAGAGTTATGGCGGCGGAATCCAACAGCGCGTTGGAAAGTCAAGTGAATGGCTTGACAAGTCAAGTGACCGGCTTGACTTCTTTGGTTAAGGATTTCCTTTTAAAATCCAAGACCCAAGAAGTCAAGGTCTGCGGTATCTGTACACAACAAGGGCATCCCACGGACTCATGCCCAACTCTTCAAGAAGACACCACAGAGCAAGTCAACGCCTTGGGTTTCCAAGGCCACCAACAAAGGAGGTATGACCCGTTCTCAAACTCTTACAATCCCGGATTGAGGGATCACCCAAACTTGAGGTATGGAAACCCTCAACAAGCCAACCCACCTTCTCAATCGAGTATGTCTACGGAAGACATGATTCGAACTCTTGCTATGAGCATGGGCACCTTGCAACAAAACGTGGTGCAATTTCAACAAGAAACAAAGTCAAGTATTCA